GAGCTTATAAACTTTGTGATAGCAAAGGCAAAATGCTCCGAAATTATTATAATAGTGACCGTTTAGCAAAATATTATAAGAAACAGACTTGGAAACCAATTGTTCTTATCAAGTAATTTCTGGAAGAAATTTCTAAAACTGATAGAAAAATAGTGAGACAATACTTAATTAAAATCATGTTTCACTAATTTAAAGATCATAACACCTTAGAAACTATATAAGCAATCCTAGCTTGTACAAATTTCTTTAAAAATAGAAGCCTTAAAAACAAAAACAGAAATCGCTTTAAATAATTTTCTTAGAATTTGGAAACAGAATCCCACATCTCAAAAACATTTAGACATTTCACCCCCAGAATATTTATCTTTAGGATGAGGAAGAACCAGAAAATGCAGTAGACTTGAATTCTCTTATAAACACCCTAGTAGAAATTAATTTCAATGAATTTCTACAAATAGAAACAGAAGTATCTCTATCTGTAGAAGAAGCCACCCCTGCAGAAGTTACTACAGAGTTTGAAAACCATTCTAATACCAATGACCTTACTTTATTGGTAAATGACCTGAAACAGACACCTGCCCCAACAACCCGGACTATAACTAATTCTTTTTCCGGAGGAACATGGAAAAAACCAAGTAGACCGAATCTTGAAGTTCTTATCAAGCCCAGGCCGGACATGAGTTAGCTTCAATAAAAAGATTGAAGCCTACTACTACTTAGAATTATTAATTTCTAAGTCCAACAATCCTTTAGAAATTAAGACCTTTATCCAGAAAGCCCAATCTACAAGGAACGCCAAGAAAACTTGGAAAGGTGCTCTTAAAATTTATGAACTCCTTAAGCAACGGCCCAAAGAAATTATTTTTCAACTTTGATATACCACTGCTACTCACATTATTAAGTTGCCAGATCAAGATTATACTCAATTGGTTAAGTCTAGTTAGGATATAGAATTTACGGAGTAAATTCTTAAAGGGGACGGAAATGTTATAGAACGAATTAATTATTTTATTATTTATTATTTATTAATTATTATCTTAGAATATTATTATTATTATCCTGTATAATTATCATATTGCTCAGTCGCTTAGTCGCCTAGCCGCTTAGTCGCTTAACTATATAGTTGCTTAGTCGCTTAGTCGCTCAGTCGCTTAGTCGTCTAGTCGCTTAGTCGTTTAGTCACTCAGTCGCTTAGCTTACAGATATATAAACCCCACAAGTTAGAATAAGCAACAGACACCCTTCTCTCCTTATTCTTGTAAACAATATTTAGGATTCTTTAGGGATAGATACCTAAGGATAGCCTTGTATTCTCTATATTTAATAAACGACTCTTCGACTATAAACTGTTTAGATATTCCCCCTCTAGGGTAATTCCTACAGGCAAGGTTTATCTCTCTTGTGTCAAATAAGTTATTATTGTTATTGTATTTCCCCACGAACTGCCTTAGAGAAGGGTATAGTTTCTCAAAGAGAAAAGAAGCTATACTTACCTCTTGGACACCGCATATACCTACGAAAGGATTCCCTGTGCCGTATTGTCGTTATAGAGTAAATTAAAAAGGCTTTACTCTGTAACAATAGTATATATGTATGTTCTAAATCTATGTATATATTATAGATTTATTAGTATAAATATATATACAAGTTGTTTAATATTTGAAAAAATCTTTACACTGTATTTTGTGTATTTTGTAAACCTATGTATACTTCGTTAGCTAGAGTAAGGTTGAATAGATATCTAATATCAACGTACATACAATATGTATAGTATTAGGTATCTACTTGATACATATCAAATAATTTAATTGGCTGATCTAATTAATATATAGCACCTGATTTTGTTATTGACCCTCCTTTAAAAAATCAGGTGATAAATATCTATACTTTTATTGTTTCTATTTATGATGATTCTCAGCAGTTGTAGCACCCAATTATCACCATATTCACTTATACTAGCTATACCTGTATTGGTAGTTCTAAGTCTTCTATTTAAAATGGTTTGATTGATTATAGAATATACAGTATATAAAAAAAAATTAACAATTCTTTAATTGGTGATCCATTAGTCAACCAAAGAGTGATTATAGTAAAATATGACTCAAATTACTTATAAAAATTAGAGGTCTCTAAATATAGTATACATACATTTAAAACTTTTTTTTATATTAAATTAATCATCTTTCTAATTTAAGAGACTTTTGTAAAGCTTGTCAAGATGCATCTAATAGTAGTTAAAGCATTAAAATCAGCCTAGTAGATGCCAAGATATCTTTAAAAAACATTTCTTTTACTATATAAACTTTTTGTAAACAATACTATTGTTTGTAAAGAAGTTTATATAATAAAAAAAATGTTTTTTAAAGATATCTTGGCAACTACTAGGCTGATTTTAATGCTTTAACCACCATTAGATGCATCTTGACAAGCTTTACAAAAGTCTCTTAAGTTAGAAAGATGATTAATTTAGTATAAAAAAAGTTTTAGATACATACATGCCATATTTGAAGACCCCTAATTTTTATAAGTAATTTGATTATATTTTACTATAATTACTCTCTGGTTAACTAGTAAATCACTAATTAAAGTTTCTTAAAATTTTTTTAAAAATATAAAAACTTTAAAATTTTTTTTTTTACATATATCTCATAATTAACCAAACCAAATTTATATTTACCATTATTAGAATCAGAATAATTTTCTCTATTTCTTAATTTGTATTGCAGACAAATTTGTCTGCAAACTTTTTTAAAATTTTAATTTTTTTAATTTTTTTTTTTTTAAAATATTAAGGTGACTACTTATAGTCTCTGGCACTTTATTAGTTCAAGTGAATTATCAATATCCGAAGATATAGACCACATGTTACATCAGTATCACGAAAGTACAACTAGTTATACATACAACTTTTGGTTGCCTAATTAAGTAGTCCGCTCGAAGCATTAGTGCTATGCTAAGGGTTCTATACTAGATGTTATACCTATAGCCTAACTAGAAAGCTATCTAATTAAACTTTCTGGCTTTTACTGGTACTACATGTTTTTTTCTAATATGTCTCTTTTTACAGAGACAATTTACTGTTTAAGATGCTAAAACTTTAGCCAACAACAGAAGGCATTTATCCTTGTAATAAATCTAATAGCACAGTATATGTTGCACACATGTATTCAACTATATGTTTGGTAACTTCTTCCTAACTAGTACATGTTGTATTGCCACCAATGAGTTCGTATCTCAAGCCAACTTTTGGGGTGCTGCTGTAACTCAATCCATATCTCAAACGTCAACTTTTCTAATTAGTCATTCATTATATACTTCTGTTCTTGCAAGATTCACAACAACCCCAGTACCCCAATTCGACTATCTTCTTACCCGGATTCTTAATTGGTCTCTTCCTTACTTCCAGCCAGCAACTCAGAAGGATTGGTCTGCCCAGGCTTTAGATGCCTGAAAAACACCCTCTCTTTGGTCCATACTTTCAGAGCATATACTTTTTTTCTCTAGTGCATCAGCCTGGTGGTTCGGCTAGTGTGTCTTTCCACTAAAGAACTTGGTTATTTGGTTCACCAATCTCAGCCTTGGTTCGAATTCAGCTATCATATAGTACTGTTAAAGATTACTGCTATTCTCAACTCGGGACTTCCCAAATGAGCTTTCTGTATAGTGAAGAACAATTTTTCAGATTTACACAATCATGAACTTATTGAATGTTTGCACTGCCCTAAACCAGTTTGTATTCATTTGTAGTTTTTGGGTTTCTCTAGTTATACAAATACTAGCAGATCTCTCAGGATCACTTTCTGGTGCAACTCAAGTTACAGATTCTCAATTTAAGATCCAATTATTTTATACAGATTACTGTACCACAGGTCTATTTTTCAAAATCATTATCTATGGGATTTGAACTCTAGATCTGCCACTTAAAGAGGGTGACAACTAAATTACTTCACTAAACTACCACATCTCTTTTTAATTTTTTTAATAAAATCTTAAATATTGATTTAGCTATATATTTTCTAAGAGCATAGTGGACATTTGATTTGATTGGCTTAAAAATCTCTGAGTTACACAATATAAATAAAAAATTTTAAAGTAACCCTTACTATATAAAACCATATTGTCAATTGGCAACCTATAGTTTTACATAATAATTTTTTTTAAAGCATATTATAGTATTCTTTAGCTCTTCAGATATCTTCTGTAAAAAAAGATCAGTATAGATCATTATCACTAAAAACTTTACTTAGTGAGCAAATTTAGACAAGTAACATGTAACGAATAAGGTGATTAGAAGTTAATAAGTTATATAAACTTATTTTTTGCTTTTAAAACTCGAAAAAAATCATTTTTTACAAAAATTTATAAAAGTTAAAGTATTCGCAAGCAGCTCTTTTATGTGATTAGCTAGTGCTTGGGATACTATTCTAAGAAAACAAATGCCAATCTTAAATTTTAGCCAATTAAAAAAAAATTGGTTGTGTTTCTAAATTTTATTTAATGAAAACTAGTAAGTAAATACAATGCTTGAAAGAATTGAAAATAAAATATTTATTTATATTTAGATATGATCCTAGTCACTTTACTATATTAAACATGTAGAAGTTTATTAGTTTCTTATCAGATTCTAATAATTTTTTTGTTTTTAAAAAAATCATAGCCCCAAACTTTTGAGATTACACAAATACAAGTAATTTGAAAGGATTTTCTAAAACTGTCTTATCTAATAAAATGGAATATGTTAATAGAATGTTTCAAGTTAGCAACTATTATTTTCATGGATTTAAAACTGAAAAAGATAAACACCAAGCATTATTTGGTACAAAAATTAACAGAAAATGAAAACACTTCTAGAATATTTATACTTGAATATTGTTACAAATATAAAATTGAAGTTGAAAAAGGTAAAAACAAAGCATACTTATTATTAAAAATTGGCAAAAATGAATAATTCTAACGGAATGTATTAAGTTGCCTATTGTTGTTATTTAGAAATTAGTATTGAAATCGATAAGCATAAAGCATTTATATATTATTTGAAATCTGCTAAGGCTGGTAATACTGTGATAGAATCATCTAATTTGCCAATTATCCAAATTAGAATTTACTAGATAAGTTTCACTCTTTTTTTTTGATTTTTAATTTGTCTAAGACCTAAATTGTAAATGGGTAAAAGTTAAATATGAAGATTATATGGAATTAATAAGAAACTTGGTTATTTTAGATAATTCTATGAAAGACAATAATCAGGTGAACTGGATTAGATTTAAGATGAACAAATAATTAAGAGTCAGAATAATTTGTTTGATTAGTTGTATTTGTTTTTATTTCTTTTAATAATTTATTTGCCAAGTTTGGACTAACTACTAGATAAAATTGAAAAACTAGGCAGACTAGGTGGATATTGTTACAAATATAAAATTGAAATTGAAAAGAATGAAAACAAAGCATTCTCACATTATCAAAAATTGGCAAAAATGAATAATTCTAATAAAATATATCAAGTTGCTCATTGTTGTTATTTAGGAATTGGTGTCGAAATCAATAAGTATAAAGCATTTACATATTATCTGAAATCTGCTAAAGCTGGTAATGCTATAAAGGAATCACCTAATTTGCTAATTATCTGAATTGGGATTTACCAGATAAGTATCAACTTTTTTTTTTTAATCCTTATTTTGTTCAAGGCCTAAGTTGTGAATGGGTAAGAGTTGAATATAAAGATTATATGAAATTAATAAAAAACTTGGTTATTCTGAGCGATTTTATAAAAGACAATAATTAGATAAACTAGATTAGATTTTAAGATAAACAGGTAATTAAGAATCAGAATAATTTGTTTGATTAGTTGTATTTGTCTTTATTTCTTTTAATAATT